GTAGAGTAAATATATAGTAGTAGTACTACTACACACACACACACACACACACACACACACACACACACACACACACACACACACACACACACACACACACACACACAGACCAATGGTCATTTACTTTGCCCATGATATTAGGCCTAATTTTTTTATGCTCAGGATTTGAAATGTATGAAATAATTAATATACTTATGACCAATAAAGGTTTAAGACAACAGTTTTGTAGAATAAATTTCATTGACCTAACTAAGTTCCATTTTAATACACTTGTTTGAAAGAATATTCTCATAGGGAGTAACAAAAATCAGCTTACATGAATATCTTTATTCATAAGAACCTTAAAAAAATTAATTTATACGTTTAGAGTGGATTAGCCCACTTTTCACTTAAGTTTTTAGGTTTTCATTTAGTTCTTCTGATGTAAAATATAAAATATTTTTTGAAATGGATGGAAAGACATTGTTAGGGATTTTATCGTTGGGAAAATGTCTTTATCCTTTTTGTAATACATAGTTCTTTCACTTCATTGAAAACTTGTTTGTTTTGTCATAATTTGGAATTTAAAAATGGGGTGGGTTCTCAGACTTTTTCTGTGAAATGTTAGTGTTATCCAAGTAGTCTTTTTAGTTTACCCATTTCTTAAAAATTTTAAATGTACTAGAAATCTTTGAAGGTAGGTGAAGACGAGTTAAACACTGATGTGATAACCATAAGTCGTTAAAGTATTGATAGAAGTACTGAGAGAACTTAGTTTATGGGTAAACTGAGGTGCTACTTCCAAGTTATTCTTCATATTAGTAGTGGATTTAAAATAACTTTTTAGCCCTATATTTTAACTACATTTTGTGCCAAAGTGTATGGTGGTAGCTTTCTATGAATAATAAATTCAACAATCACTTTGAAGGGTTAAATTTTCAAAAATTCATTGGTTCTTTACATCTTATTTTCAAGCCACTATCATTGGGAAAGTTGTATTGGGGCCTTGAAAGCTAATGAAACGTGCTTAGCTTAATATGGCATATTGGGAATCATTACCTTTTGTTATGGGCATGAGTTTACCCTTTCTACATGGATCGGAGAGAAATTTAAATGTAATACATAAAATAGAACAATGAGTTTACAAACTCTTTATGTAAACTGCCGATTTTCAAGCATTCTGAAAAAGCTTTGTGGAATATAATCCACATCATGAGCATCTATTCTAGAAAGAGAAAAGGAAGAAAAATCTTTAATATTAGTTGAAATGTGTAGAAGATGGCATTTGAAACCTACTAATTGATGTCCTTTAATCTGAAGTTATAACATTTTAACGTTTGCGCATACAAAAATGATCCAGGCAGAGAAGATAGAAAGTTATAACCTGCAATCGTTCATTACTATAAGCCTAATTTAATATTCCTAAAATAAGGAAACTAATATTATGGCAGCGTATTTTCAGCATAGCTAGTTACAGATCAAAATAATTCAAACTTTTGCCAGCTAGTGTGTAACTTAAAATGAAATATAAGTATATAAAATGTGTACCTTGTCGAAACGTTTGCTGTTATGTTAAACTTGTATTAAAGTTTAGTTTTTTTTCATTACCCATTCAAGCCGTCTCCAACCATTATATAAAATGTGTGATTTTTTTTATTTTTTTTTTTTTTGCGTCTTGCATTGAGAGTACTCCATACAACTTCTTACAATGTAAAAGAACTTTCTTTATTCGCGGTATTTTAGAAATTGGGGTTCGTACGTTTCACTTCTACATTGTATGATGATTTTTTTTTGTACAAAGAATGAAAACAATCTACGGAACTAAATTCGTGACGATAGGGCTTTTAGTATTTTTTTTATGGAGGTATTTGGCAACTGTTTACTAGGGTACTCAATGAGTAAATCTGTCATGTTTCGTAGCACGTGGTCACGTGACAATAGATACCGATTCTAAGAAGAAAAATTGAAACGAAAACATTACATCGTAAACAGAGATAGCAAGAAATAAAACTTTTAAGTGCTTAAACTTGGAATAATACGTTCTTCATTCCAAACGAGTTATTTTTTACATTAAAAGTTTAAAATGCTGTGTTCATGAATGGCAGAACGCGAGTATTTTCATTTAAGTTGCTATCAACATACAAAATAACCTTTTGCGCACTAGTATCAATGAAGTATTTTACGCCAGTATCGATTGACATAAGGTTTCGAATATTACTCAAATAAAATGCAACCTGATAAATGTTTGTATATGACGTCGGGGGACCAAGGACATGAATATTTAAAAATATTTCATGATTAATTCTTAAAATATTAAAGTATTGGTGTTTTAAACCTGAATGGCTACTTATGCGAATAGAGCTAAACGGCCAGGTCAAAGATCACTGAAGTTGAAGTAGTAGACGCCTTTAATTTAGAACTGCTGACAATCATCGGTACTCTTTGCTTATTGGCTGTTGCAGTTATAATGTATACAACTGGAAGTATGGACAATAGTCAGTGGTTCGAACCTTGGATTAGTTGGGATTCTGTAAGGCTTAATTGTGTAGGCGCTTTTTTTTTTCATGCAAGATTTCCCTATTGTTTAACTTTATTTTTAGCATTTGAAATCGACTGCACCAAAAATTTTGGAAATTGAATATATGTAAATATGAAAGACTAAAGAAAGTGTCATCTGTTTTTCTTCATACACTATCGTTAAATATTGTTTGCATATAAAATGTTTTGACCTTTGATAAACTTGGTAAAATATCTAAATAAAAAATAATTTAAGATTATAAAAATTAGGATAATAAAGGTTTAATCTAAGGAGTTGAAGTGTATGTAAAAAAAATACCCACTAATATTGAGCTGAATTAATGTGAATTTCGTAAAAGTTGTATTAAAACATATCTTTTAAAAGTATATAAACTTGTAGTTATTGCGACTGTTCTTAAAATACTTGAACAGAAACTTTTACTAGGAAGCTGTTCCACGAACAATGTTGATAGAGACTTTCTTCATGGAGTAATTTGAGAAGACTATATTGAGTATAATTTGTATCAGTGATCTGCAATAGCGTGTCGCATGTTTTAATGATGTATAAAGTCTAATCTGGCGAAGCAAGTTATGTGATGAAACGTCAAATGATAGTTTTAATCTTCACATTTTATACGGATTTTCAACGAAAAAAAGCGTTCGGTATTTCAAATACATTTTATTTGCTACGCGTTGCTGGCATTCGGTTTAAACACATGCGCATCAGACAGAAACAACGCGAAAGCACTACTTTCGGCTTTTTATACAGATGGAATTCACCATAGTTGCTGGTAAATAGCTAGGAACACACAACTGTAGCTTAGGAACATCAGAAAAGCATATGTTGACCACTTCATGACTTGGAAATCTGCCTAAATAATCAAGAAAAACTAAGTAAATACTGTGAGTTCTTCGAGATAACTTCACTCAACGTCGAAAAGTGTTTCAAGTGTAGGAGAATGGGGAATTTTTGCAGGAGACACAAAACAACATCATTATAGTAGGCAGTATATAGCAGCCATGTTACAGAGAGTGAAGAGGAAGTTACCATTATTTATCATACTAATGTTATATCTGCATCAACTCGTATAAATTGATAGGAAGCGCTGAAGGAGAACTAGAAGATTTTCCTTGTTTCTGAATTTTCGCGCGAAGCTACACAACGTGCTAAATGCCCCTAGCCATCCCAAATTTTTAACTGATAAACTAGAGAAGGCAGCTAGCAAACAGCACCCACCACTAACTTTTTGGCTACTTTTGTCTGACCAAGTAGTGGAGATTTGGCAGTCATAGTAAAAGCACATTCACGTTCCCAAAGTGCAGAGCGATGCCTTGTGGTTAGGGTGCTCATTTCGCAATCTTCTCACTCTTTCAGCCATGAGGGTGTTATAATGTGATGGTCAGTCCCACTATTCGTTGGTATAAGAATAGTCCAAGAGTTGTGTTTGAGGTCACAAAGTAATATAGAGAACGTTGCGCGTTCGATCCTACCCTAGGCCACACTATTTTGTTTTTCATATTTTGCAAATGGATGCTCATTTTTAAAACATAAATAGTTTAATATAAATTGTATAAACGTCACAGTAGAAGTATTTTCTGGTTTGTTTTATTGTTGACAAATGTGTGAAATATTGTAAAAGTTTGAGTGTTGTATAATGTAGATATCCAAATCAAAAGTTACTGCATTTATATTGGAAAACACAGAAGAAGTACATTTTTTATTTTGGGGCCGGCATGGCCAGATGGTTAGGGCGCTCGACTCGCAATCTGAGAGGCGCGGGTTCGAATCCCCTTCACACCAAACACGCTCGCCCTTTCAGCCTTGTGGGCGTTATAATGTGACGGTCAATCCTACTATTCGTTGGTAAAAGAATAGCCCAAGAGTTGGTGGTGATGACTGGCTGCCTTCCCTCTAATCTTACACTGCTAAATTAGGGACGGCTGGCGCAAATAGCCCTCGTGTAACTTTGCGCGAAATTCAAAATAAACCAAACCTTATTTTGGCGATTTATCTCTCTTACTGTATGACACATATTAAATATTTTGAAATTTGATCCAAGACAGTTTCAAATTGAATATTAAGAGTGGAATGATGCTTCTGGCTGATGTAGTTTAGATGCACCAATATCCCAAAAATGGCAAAACTATCCAAGATGTACAGTGAGTTAATAGTAGTTTCTGACAACTTTTTGACATAACTTGCTTATCTGAGCCTCTGTTCTTCTCGATGTGGGTCTTT